AGCTTTGCACAAGTTACTTAACTTTTCTGTGCCTCATTTTCTCCACCTAAAAAGGGAGTAATAATGATAGTACCTAGCTCACGGGGTTATTCTAAGAATTAAATTAGCTGATTCACATAAATGGCTTAAGACAATGCCTGGCATATAGTATATGCTAAGTAAGAATTACCTGTTATTAGTCATTAGATGGTATAGAGGAAAAGACTAGCAGACTGACATTAATTCATCATGTGACATTAATTCATCATAAACACCTTGTGTTTATCACATCCTTCTCTACCAAATAGTCACTGAATAAGAACCACAGAGAACTCTGCTAGGTGCTCTTAGGAAAACACATTTAGACTACAAGTGGAGTCTTTCCTCAAGAAACTTTCACTCAAGACCTTAGATTCTATCATCTTCATTTTCCTCATCTGAAAAAATAAGGGGCATATTAGATTTCCCAGTATATCAGATTAGATCGGTAGACTTGAAATCTGTGAGATCTCAACTGAGGGAAACCATTTCTAAGGTTTCTTCTAGTTCTGTCTATGTTCTACTTAGAGTCTCAGAACAACTCCTTATGAAATGATAGGCTTTATCTCCCTGTTCAGGCACATGCATGCATGAACAAATACATAAATAAATGAAAGAAATTATAGGCATATTTTCCCTAAACTGTTGAGTAAAGCAGCGTGGGATAATGGGTAAAATGACTGACAGGTCATATTTTATATGTATGTGCTTTTCCCACTTCATCTTATAAAGAAATTCAATGACTCTTCTAAGGCTATATAGCAAGAAGATGGTGGTAAGGTGCTATGTTCCCTGCCTACAAATTCACCTTTAAACATATACACAAAACACCACTGTATTGTGAGAATAAAATTAGATTGACTGGGCATTTTAATTACTATCTTTACCAGAAGCAAATCACAAAACTATCTATATTAGAATGTTTTGAGAATAATTTTAAGGCTGAAATGAAAGAGACTTTGGAAGTATTGTAATTCAGTGCTCTTATTTTAACTATGAGAATTCTGAGGCCCAGAGAAGTTAAGGATCCAGTCTAAGTCAGTATCTGATCTGGGACCAGAGACCAGGGGTGTCAATGCTAGTTCAGAGCTGTTTCCACCAACCCAAACATAATGTATATTTGATATCAGAAGAAAATCCCAATGATTTAAATCCCAATGATTTAAATGGGAAACAAACTTCATTTAAAACCACTGACCTCCACTATTAATAAGTTGACGACACCAACAGAGATAGGCAGAATCCAAGTGGAATCGAGAGCAGTAAGGTCAGGAAACCATAGGACTCCGCCAGTAGCTAACTGCTCCTGAACAGAAAAACCTGCTGAAATAGTTTCATAAATAAAGCAACAGAATTCCTAAAATTAGCAGAGAAAAATACACAAGTAGTCTGACAATTCTAATAAGGTATCCTTTACACTAAAGATTTGCGTTGGTTTTATTCAGGTTAGTTTCACATCATTTTCTTCACTCAACACAAAATGTTTTTTCTCAACACAGCTGGTCTGTGTACACTTACAGATTTTAAAATCTTACACTAAAAAAAAATGTTAAATTCTGTTCTCTTGTAAGGAACACGGTAAACGTTCTAATTATGAAAATATGGGTTTTTTTTGTGAGTACAAAGACATGTTAGAGAACTTATTTGGGAGAAGCAGCCTTCTATAATAATTACCTTCTGAATTTGTTGCCCCTGTGCTAAAATTCCGGAGAGCAACAGACATGAAGATCCACATTGGAAGCTGAATCCAGATCAACACAGTGGCTTTGAAAGGGTGGCAGTTATCCCGAACATATAGCTCTGAAACAAACCTCCTCATATTCTTTAGATAAGTGAGCCTAGATTGAGGGAAGGGGAAAAAGGGGAAAAGAGAAAATGTCATGAGGCCAGGCGTCGTGGGTCATACTTGCAATCCTAGCACTCTGCGAGGCCAGGGCGGGAGGATCACTTCAGGTCAGGAGTTCAAAACCAGCCAGAGCAAAAGCGAGACCCGTCTCTACTAAAAATAGGAAAAATTAGCCAGGCAACTAAAAATAGAAAAAATTAGCTGGGCGTGGTGGCGCTTGCCTGCAGTCCCAGCTACTCGGGAGGCTGAGGCAGGAGGATGGCTTGAGCCCAGGA